AAACACACAGCGTCTCGACATGGCGGCATCAATACTACAGCGAGAATAAAAGTTATGCCTTCTTTCTTTGCGTGAACATTTGGGCGGCGTTATGCAAATCTTCCCACATAGTGTGGTAGATATGTTGGGGGCGTGTTAGAACGAGCCGTTTTAGGTAGGTGTGGTTAACTCTTAACTTTTATAAAGAATATCTCTTTGGATTTGAGACTTTAGTCTTTGCAACTTTACAGATCTTCTTTATGCACCAGGAGCTTGTAACACTCCAAAGAGAAAGGAAAAATTGAAATCGCATCATATGACCCCTTTAAGATTTTTGAGGAAAACATTTCAGGATTTTTCTCCATATAGTGGGTTTCAATGGGAGCCAACGAGTTGAATGTCAGTTTCAGTGCAGCTTCAAAGGACTCGACACGATCCCAGCCGAGGAATAATGGTCTTATCTAGTGAAACAATTGGCCATTTTCTAAAAAAAAATGTATATACTTTTTAGCCACAAATGTTCGTCTTGCACTAGTTTGACTTCACATATTACATAGTCACGTTGGAAAGGTCACGTGTGATGTAGGCGGAAGTACGGACTCAGTGTTTACAAAGCAAATGTGCAAAGAAAGTCAAATGCCCTTTACAAAAAAAAAGATAAAGAATGATGTAGGATGATTTTGAAGTTGGAGGAGAAAATGAGATGAGAATTTTTCGCCCTACCCTACCTTTTTGAACCGGAGTACACAGACGAACTAACCGCGCATGACCTTTCCAACGTGATTACGTAATGCGTGAAGTCGCGGATGTGCATTGCGGCGCTATTGCAAGCATTTGTGAATAAAAAGTATATAATATTTTTTTTTGAAAATGGCCGATGTTTCACTAAATAAGACCATTATTCCTCAGCTGGGATCATGTAGAGCTCTTAGAAGTTGAACTGAAACTGCAATTTGGACCTTCAACATGTTAGCGCCCATTCAAGTCCGCTATTTAGAGAAAGATCCTGGAATTTTTTGCTCAAAAACCTTAATTTCTTTTTGACTGAAGAAAGAAAGACATCAACATCTTGGATGACATGGGGGTGAGTAAATTGTCAGGAAATTTTTATTCTGGAAGTGAACTAATCCTTTAAGTGGTAAACTGTACCACAGTAGTTTCGATTTCAAGCCATTTGCGTGCAAGGCTTTGCTGTGCTAATTAAAAAGGCGGCGACATCTGTATTCACTCAAGAGGGTTAAGATGTATATT